AGAGGCCCACGCTGCGCACCAGCATGGCCACCAGCCCGCATAGCAGCCCGATGCCCAGTGCGATGCCCGCACTCGCCCCGGCACTCAGCTGTGTCTCCAGCACCCGCTCCCGGTAGCACAGCAGGAAGATGACCACCGAGCCAAACAGCAACCCAGTGAGGAAGAGCACTGCCTTGAAGCAGCGGTAACCTGGAGGGGAACAGGCGCCAGTGAGGGGCCAACGTGAGGTCACCCGGCTGGAGGCAAGGGGTGGAGGGGTCAGAACATGAAATCACGGGGGAACCAGAGGCAGGACACTAAGGTAAGAAAATTCGGGGTCATTGGAGTCCTGAGGGCACCAGTGATGGGGCCACTAGGGTCAAGGGAGGTCAGAGAGATAGGTCACTAGGAGTCACTTGGAAAACAGAGAGACAGACATTGAGATGAACATTTGGTCTTTGAGGGTTAGAGGAGTCAGAGACAGGTCATTGGACTCAAGAGTGCATCAGTGATAGGGTCATTGGGGTCGTTGGAGTCATGGGGGTCAGAGAAATAGGTCACTGGGTTCATCAGGGGATCATCAATAGAGTCATTGGGGTCTATGAGGGGGGATTGTTCAGAGAGATGAGGTATTTGGAAGTCAGAAAGAATTTGAGAGATGAGGTCTTGAAGGGGTCGCAAGGCTTCAGAGATATGGCATCATTAAAAGGTTACAAAGAGAAAAGGGAAGCAGGGTTATTAGGGACTGGTTCCAGGAGATGAGGTCTTTGCAGGTCAGGGGGATTGATAGACATGGAATCATTGGGAGTATTAAAGGGTTTCAGAGAGAGGGTAATGTTGAGGCCAGAGAAATGGGATTATTGAGATCTTGGTGGGGGAGGAGCAATCAGGCAATGAGTTCCTAGCAATAGTTAGGGGGGTGGAGTCAGAGGGATAAAAGGTGATGAGATAGCTGGAGGAGGGGGGGGGTCACTAGGGCTTACAAGGGGTCATGGGGAGTCAAAGAGAATTATAGGGTGAAATAGTGGTTATGGAGTTCCAGGAAAATGGAGGTTATAGGGTCATTGGGTCCATTAAGGGTAACCAGAAGAGTGAGGGACTTGCTGATCCTGAACAGTTGGGAAGATGGGGGTGAAGGGGTCAGGGAGAGCCAACGAGAAAGGTCCAAGAGAAGATTCAATTCTGGGAATGAAGGGAAGCATTAGAATCCAGGAGGTTCTGGAGTCAGAAAGAGGAGCAGGGCGTACACAAGGTTCAGAGTCCAAGAGCCTGGGAGTGGGGGCATCCAAGAGGGGTAAGGTGGCAGGAAAGCACAGGAGAGGGAATGTCAGGGTGTATTGAGCAACTGCAGAGGGATTGGGTATGGGTATGGATTTGGGTAGGGGAGGGAGTGAGGTAACACAGACTCCTTGGAGGCCCAAATGTATCCTGAACCCATAGAGGGGCACTGCCTCCTGCCCACTCTACAATTGTTCAGCCAAGAGTCTGGGGGTGGAAAGAAAAGGACCATCTGGCTCCCATTCCTGCCTACTACCCAGCCAAGCTAGGGGGGAGGTGTAGAGGCATCAGAGCACAAGTCTCACCCCACCTCTGCCAAGCCTAGAACCCAGACCTCCAAGCTTCCTTTACACTTCTTTCAGTCACTGATAATGCTCCTCTTGGAGGCTTTCCTTGGGCCCCAACCAATAGAGATTGCTCCCCTCTCTGAAGTTCTGCAACTCTAGCTGTAGAGTCACTGGGCACTTACTCCACTAGTCTATCTGGCACCTTTGTGCAAATTAGAAAAAGGTGTGCCACCCAGGCCAGTGTGGCTTAGTTGGTTGAGTGTCCCATGCATCAAAAGATTGCTGGTTTGATTCCTGGTAAGGGGACATGCCCAGGTGGTGGGTTCAATCCCTGTTTGGGATGCATGTGGGAGGCAACTGATCAATGTTTCTCTCTCACATCAATGTTTTTCTCTCTCCCCCTCTCCCTTCTTCTCTCTCTAAAGTCAATAAAACATATTAACAACAACAAAAAAGAGAAAGAAAAAGGTACGCCTTCCTCTAGGCAAAGCAGCCTTGTGCCAAGGCCTAGAGTTTGGCAAGTGGAGCATGAGCTGGGTTTCAGGCCCCACTTGCCTATGACCTCAACTCACTTGTATAGTAGGCATCCTGCACAACTGTTCACAGCCACCCTGATTTTTGGAGCCTACCTTGTAGGCGATCTTCATGTGTATGACTACTATCTAGCCTACTCTACAGTTGACTTTTGAACAACACAAGTTTGAACTTCACAGGTCCACTTATACATTAATATTTTCAATAAATATACAGTTAGCCCTCCATATCCTCAGGTTTTACATGCACAGATTCAACTGACTGCAGATTGAAAACAGTATTTTGGATCTATGGTTGGGAATCTGTGCATGCTGAGAACCCACTTAAGTTATATGTAGGTTTTCGACTGCACCCAAACCCTCACGTTATTCAAGGGTAAACTATAATATGTATCAAGGTGTGACTATCCCAGAAGTCTCTCCCCCATTAAAGTCTGTGTGAAGGGACCATTCTTAATCACCCTGCTAAATGTTTTCAGTGTCTAGCTAGAACAGTGACCCAAACACATCTTCACCACAATAGCTATTATTTATTGAGTCCCTATTAATTCTCACAACAACTCTATGTGAGGTAAATATCATAAAATCAATAAAAACATATTATTCCCACTGTTCAGATGAGAAAACTGAGCTAAGGCAAGTTAATTTGCCCAAAGCATCACAATTAGTAAGGTACAAAGCCAGGTTCAAATTGAAGCATGCCTAATTTTAAAAAAAATTGTGTTTTCTAGGATCTAGATCAGCTGTTGCCAACCTTTCGGACCTCACGGACCACAGGTTGGTGACCACTGGTCTAGATGATATAGGAACATGTGGTATGAAAGAAAGTAAGAAAAGGGAGTTATTCATGCTAATTTTGGTGGCGGTGGTGGGGGTAGGGGTGAAGTTCTGGAGGAGATTTGGAGTGCATCAGGAAAATAGGGAGAGAATGGGGAGCCGAGGTGAGGGATGAATTGGGGGTCTCACCGAAGAAGCAGTAGACGACTCCAAACAGACAGCACATGATGCAGACGAGGGCCGGCAGTGCCTGGTACCTGCGCTCCAGGGGCTGTTCACAGGGTGCACCCCAGAAGGCATCATCTGGCTCAGGGGGCAGGAGCTGGAACCGCAGTGTCGCCACAGTGCCTGGCATAGTGCTAGGAACGAAAGGGAGTCACCCTCCCAGGTCAGCCTGACAGAGAGGAAGCTGGAGTCAAGGAGGAGTCCTGGGTCTCCACCAGGATGGGGCTAGAATGGGAGTGGGAGACCCAGGCAAGGACACGCTGGACAAAGGAGTGGTGCCCACATCAGGCAGCTCCAGAAGCATCGCTAATTGGGGGACAAAAGACAAAGGGAACAAAAGTGTCTGGCTAGAGGGGGCCAGAATGAAGAAGTCAGAAGGGGAACTGGTTGGGGGGAGATGAGGGCAGTGTGCTGCCAGTGAGGAGGCAGCCAGGAGACTCGTCTGTGGGCGGCTAAATCTGGGATTGTCCAAAATCTACCTGGGCTGGAAGCGACCTGAGCTTTTGAATGAAAGAGGCTGTGCAGAGGCCAGAGGGTCCAGGGGTGCTGGGCGCCAGAGGCTCCAGCTGCCTGGGGTCCAGGAAAAGTCCGTCGTGCGGGGAAGGGAGCTGCTGGGCCGGAGGAACCTGTCTCTGCGCGGCGGCCGCTCCGCCT